CCCCAAAACCCCAAAACCCCAAAACCCCAGCTTTTAGCAGAAAATAGAATCATATAATTATCAATTTATTTAATAATAATATAATATGGAAAGTAATCCAGCCACGAATCTAGGAGAAATTAAGGCTGTCTCAGATGGAGAAGGTAGAAGCATACCATTATTGACAACTCTCTCTCTTACAATTAAAATCCTTCCTTATTTTGGATATGCAAATGAATGCGAAACTCTAATGACACAGCTTAGATCAGAGTCCAGACAACTCTGGCTTTCTAATGAAAACCAGTGGCTCAAACCTTACATTAATGACCAGGAGGAAGAAGTATTCCATATAGAGAAGAGGATATTGATTATCAATAATCTTAAAGGCTCTTCAAGTTCTGGTGATGAAGTATTTCCATATTCACCAATGATGAAGCTAGCACACACAAACGCTTATAAGTTATATTCTTTTTATTTTTGGTTTTATGATGAGGATCTCCCAGGCCTTGAAACTATTGCTGATTTCTGACAAATAGTGGATTCAGAATTGTTCAAAGTTAGAATGATATATGTTATAGCTGAAATCAGCACAATTTCTGCTTCTGAATGGCTTTTCAAAATTTCTAGAGCTCTTAAGATCAAAGTGGGAGAGCATAAAGTTGGTAAAGCAACTTATTATAAATTTAAGAACCCACCTTTTTGAATTTATGGAACAAGTTGATTTGATGGTACTAAAAACCTTTATGTTTGCGCAAATGATTGGGAACCCCCAAATCTTCAAAGTGAACAAAATTTGATTAAAAAAATTAAAGATGATTCCCTTGAACTTCCTGGACTTGTAGAGTTATTCAGAAAATTATTCGAGATTATGACAATGAAAACTTTTTTAAAAGAATTTAAAAATTCTTGCATTAATCTAAGCCTGTATTGTACGAATATTATGAGAAATAAGGATTGTATTCACCAGCTCTCAGAAATATTAGACAATCACACAACTACTGAAGATTGTCAGAGGGGTTTTGTTCCAACTTTCAAACTTGACTGTAAAAGGTTATTTAAAGATCGGAGTGAGTCCATGCAGCCAAACGATCTTGATTGAATTCCAATTTTATCAAATGTGCTAAACAATAAAGGATTTCCAATCCAATTAGTTTTCTTTAGAAAAGGTTACAGGAAGGCCACGAAGTATGAGATAAAAGGAGACAAATGCTTGATTGGCTACAGCAACTGGACTATGAAAATGACTAATTTCAGGTTAGAAGCTACGGATGACTACACTATTGATAATAATTGTATTGTATTCGGATCAAGTGATAACAGTTTTAAAGCAGATGTCTATGAAAAAGCGAGTTTTAATGACCTTGAGGAGCACAAATCCTCATCCGAAGACCTAAAGATCTATATTCCTACTGATGAAATCAAATCTCTCAGCTGAGATTTTGAATTCCTGAGAAAAATACTCTCTGTAGGTTCAATTCAGAAACTATCAGATTTGCAAATAAAGATTTTTTCTATTGATCTTAGTAAAGAATACACCTGCGAGATTCTCCAAAGCCTGCCTAAATTCATAAAATTAGAGATAGAAATCATATATCTTGAATCTGAAAGTGACCAGCAAGAACAGAACAATGGAATATCCTTTGAAGCTCTTCAGAATTTGAACTTAAAGAAACTCAAGATTGGTTATGAAATCAGCAACGAGGATTTGATACTCTCATTAATTTCATTTCTGGAAAATCAAACTGCTCTTAATGTTATCTCTGTCAAGATCAGAGCCTCTGAGATTGAAGATGTAAACTCAGTCTTTAAGTCCTTACTCGGAGCTATCCAGGACTTACATTGTTTAGATATTAACATCTCAGTTTCAGAAGCAACCCTTGAGATGTCTGAGATGTCTAAAGAGTTTGCTGAAATCAACATTGACAAGGTCATTTCGATCAGCCTGAATCCCCCATCAGGAAGATCTGACCCAATCGAAAATCTTGGAAATACCAATCCAGACGATTCTAGTCCAGAATCTCAAGAATATTCTGAAGAAATACTGATAAGAGACGCGTTCACTAAGTTAAAGGACAAATTTTACTAAATTTCAATGTTTGAACCTTATCTCGGGGTTTTGGGGTTTTGGGGTTTTGGGG